GTGTTAGCCAAGCTGTATCCCCAGTAGCAGGAATTCTGCCAACTGAGATGAGGCCGGAACAGTCACAGTTGCTAGAGGGAGGGTGGGAGGGACTTTGACAGACCTGGATGAGAGTCTGGTATTGAACAGGAAGGGTTGCTGTAGGAAAGAACTGATCTGCATTGGCAGGGCTGGGTGAGTTTCACACGCGTTGAATTTATTCCTTTTATTTTATATGTCAATATCAATTAACAATTGTGGTTGAAATTGCTGTAAAATATGACACACCATGCGAAGTAACTCTTGGAGTTGTTCCAGACTGACAGAGGGAATTCAGGGGGAAATCCAGAGCAACTCTTCTGGGGTTACTCCAGATTGACAGTAACATTCACAAGCTCCCATATAAATCCAGACTAATTCTACCCAGCTTAGTCTTGGCTGATACTAATGCAAATGTAAATCCAGAGTAACTATTCAGTTTATTCCAGTTTTACACCAGCGTACAGGAGATCTGATGTGAATCCAGACTAAGAAGCCTGAGTTTGGTCTGGATTTAAAGCCAATGGAAACAAAAACAGATACTGGTCCCTAGTACTATTTGCACATTCCCCATGCTATGCCCCCAACCTCTGCTTTGCTTCCATTTTCATTTCATTTCATAGAGCATAAGACTCCAATGTCACTATTAAAGTTAATCACAGAGTTAGACCCACCCACCACTGGACCATGTAAATCAGCCTGCATGCCATTCACCCGAGCCATGGCAACCCCTTTAATTGCAATTAAAGGGATGGCGGGGAGGAGCGCTGATATTGCAAATATTCATCACGCCTGGGGAGCCTTCCTCTGCTAAAGGTTATTTGAGATTAGAAAACCAGGCTGTCACTGATACAGACCGATTCGCTCTGCATTTTGAGGGGATTGTCAGACACAGGCTAAAGGGACTCCGTGTAGGTGATTCACGAGCACAGTGAGTCTAACGACAACAAATTCCTTTCCTCCAGGAGCCTCCTAACACCGTTAATTTAAAAACGCTGTCCTCCATCCCCTGTTTTCTCCCACGGAAAGTTGTGTTGCTTTGCTCCTAGCTGCTTTGCCGACACGACATTTTCTGCTGAGTTAGTTTCTTCTTTTGTGCGGCTTCTTTTGGAGGAGAAGCCGCGGGCCTGCATGTTTCCTCTGTTCTCCCTTTCTGTCAAGGCACTTGTAACACAGCGATGTTGTTTTGTCCCTAATGCACCAAGACACAGAGCCTGCAGCTGGAGTCTGGCACACTCCCATCAATCCCAGGTAGCGCATGGGCGTCAGCTCTCACGGTGAAAAAGGAAATTAAAAAAGAAAAAACATCAGATGGCACGGGTGGATTTTGACTTTCTTTTCATTCGGGGCAAAGTTAGGACTCGGGAAAGACAAGGACTGATATCCGTGGGATGAGCTAGGCTGAATCAGTCATCGGCCCAACCGAAAACCAGGGACAGATCCCCGGCTGGTGTAAATCAACAAAATGCCACTGATTTCTGGTTTAAGCTGAGGATCTATCGATCCCCGCACTTAAATACGTGGCTTGAGCAGAGTGCCTGCAGCGTCCATTAATTTTAGTGACATTTGTGGAGGTTCAGAACTTCTGAAACTCAGGCCGTGGTTATTTAAGCATTTAAATGGGGAGTTAGTTGCCTAATTAAAGAAGCCAAGTTTAAGACCCAATTAGTTGCCTAATTGAAGAACCCAAGTGTAAGACTGCTGGGACTAGAACTCAGAAGTGGGGAGGCCTCATCTCCTGCTCTGAACGCTGGACTCCCATGTGCTTCCTGAGTAAGAACGTAAGAGTGGCCATACTGGGTCAGACCAAAGGTCCATCTGTCTACCGACAGTGGCCAAAGTCAGGTCCCCCAGATGGAGGGAACACAACAGGGAATCCTCACGTGATCCCTCTCCTGTTACCCATTTCCAGAGAAACAGAGGCTAGGGACACCATTCCTACCCATGCTGGCTAACAGCCATTGATGGACCTAACCTCCAGGAATCTATCTAGCTCTTTTTCAACCCTGTTAAAGTCCTAGCCTTCACTGTATAGGAAATCTGGCACCGCGTCCTCTTGCATCCTTTCAAGTTAGTTTGAAATGTTTGCTTTCCATAGCAACCCTCTTTTCTTTGGGGGGGGACCATTTTCTTTTTCATTTTTACACTATGACAAAAGCAAACGTTGTTCTGACTCCAAAAACACAACCCTTTTTATTTAGAACAGATCCAAAACATGACCTTGTGACTATTTCAAACTTTGTTTCCATTCAGGCATTGGGGCAAAACCAAACTGCATTTCTCGATGTCGGTTTTTGACAAAATCCGCATTTTTTTCCCTTTTTGCCTAAAAAGCAGTTTGTCAAAACATTTCTGACTAGCTCTACCAACAGATGAAAGAGGGGCAGTAAAGAAGTGATTTTAAGCTCTATTGGAAGTCTATTCCAAGAAGGCAGAAATTCTGTAAATCAACACTGATCGGAACTGGGAGGAATCTCTCTTTGCTCTGATTGGCTGTACAGTTCCCAGTTAATATCACAAGCTTTCATTACAATGGGTAGATATCACAACTGGATGCTGTGTAAATGCTTTTTCGAAGCCATGGAGAGAAGGCTGTTCCTTGAATGCAGAATAACAGATAAGCACTTTACAAGCAAAGCTCTTGTTTTCATGCAAATCACCTCCATAATGAAAGGACAAGGGGAAAGAGATACAGAAAAACATTTGTTTAGCTGTGCAGAGTCCTTAACACACAGACAGCGAATTTGTAACATTCTCAATGAGGCATTTTCTTAGTGCATCTTCTTAGTGTCTTTGACATAATTTACATATATTGGAGTTGTGATCGGGCCCCATTTCAGCCCCTACAAACACAGTCTAAGAAGCCCTCCCAGGGAAGGGCGGATAACCCATCATGCAAGTTACAGTCTACTTCTTGTATTTAGTCAACCTAAGAACGTGGTGTCTGATTCAACACCCACTGGGCTTCATCAGAGTCTTGCCATTGACTTCAACATGTGATGAGTTGGATCCTTCTTCGGCACAATCTGGTTCTCTAGATTCCTCTTTAGATGGTGCGTTGTACCAATGGCACCGGTAAAATACAAAACCCTGGTGCTTTATCGTTCATTTGGAAAATGTTACCAACATGTGCTCTTCAGCCCAGGGATGGATTAACTATTCTGGGGGCCTGAGGCATGTAGATTGTGTGCCCCTCCACCTAGGCTGTGGGATTTGTCAAAAATGAGGGACTCAGTGTATGGCAGGGGGCTGTCAGGGAGCAAGGTGGGGTGTAGGAACAGGCTGGTGGTGCATGGTCTGGGTAGGAGGTAGGGTGTAGGAGCAGGCTGGTGGTGCGTAGTCTGGGCAGGAGGTGGGGTGTAGGAGCTTGCTGGGGGACATGGAGTCTGGGTGGAGATAAGGTGCAGGAGTTTGCTGGTGGTGTAGGGTCTAGGCAGGAGGTAGGGTACAGGAGCGGGCAGCGGTGGGGGTACAAGATCTGGGCAGGAGATAGGTTGTAAGAGCAGCCTTGGTGTTGGGGTGCTGGGTCTGGAAGGGAAGAAGCAGGAGATTGGGGCACTTACCTGGCACAGCTCCTGGAGGGACATGGGGGGCTCCACATGGCGCTGCGCTTGCACCACTTCCAACGTTCCCATTGGCCGCAATTCCTGTCCAATGGGAGTGGTGGCAGAGGAGCCTTCCGGCGAGAGCCCTGGAGCCCAGGTACGTGTCTCCAGCGTAGCCTATCAAGTTGCCAGCCTATCATGCTCATAATATGGTTGTGTTGATTTAGATTAATTCATGAATATATTAATGGGTAGATTTAGTCTAGAGGTAATAGTTAAAAGCTGCAATGCAAGAAATCTGCTGAAGGCTGTAACAGGCCGTTTGCAAGATCAGCTGAAGCTCAGGTTAGCAGATTTCTGTGGTTGAGACACTGATCTCACCCAGACACAGGCCCTAGCTTACTTACAGCTTCCCTGGACTGAAACTTATGTCGGGGACCTTTCACCCACATAGGATGGTAGAGAAAATACCCTCAGACTCAGCACATGCATCATTATATAAAAAGTCCCCAAATAACTGGTTCAGGCTGAGCTGAGTAATCAGGACACAGGATGTGATAAATGACCACAAACGCCCATGGTAACGACTTGACGTATATGATAATAAGTTGAGAGCAATGCTACATTGACCTATAGGAAAAGGACACTTCAACACTAGAAACGTCCCCTCCTGAATATGCCAGATCCTGGGACAAAGAACCTGTCAACCCTGAAGGTGGTAATTAGAAATTAACACGTAATCGTAGGGGAACAGCAGCTCACAAAGCTGCTTTCTCTTCCATGACCCTCCAGACAAAGCTGCAGCATGCAGGGCTTTAGGGGCTACATCAGGGGGCTCCAGGCTGCTGCCCCTGAAGCCCCTTTCATAACTCAACCCTGCTCCCACCACCTACCAATGGCGACCCAAGGGGTCTAATTCAGTTCTTTACCTACCGCAGCATGTGGCTTTGGGAGTGGATCCAAGGGGTTAGTTCTTTTTATGCACAGGCGTTTGAAGATGGAGTTCTTCAGTTTGTTTCAAAGGAGGAACTGGTCCCGATAATGCCTGGAAGTAATAGGTACAAGCGAATGTACTTTGATGCTACAGTGGCATTGCACCGCCAGAGCATCCAGAGCCAGGCTCTGTGGGGCATGCTTACTGCTGATAGCACGCCCAGCCAGGCAAAGTGTGAAGTTCCTCTGATAAAGGCAGAGATTACGTACCCCCACCAAAGTCGGGTCACTGGGGTTTAGCTCTCCAGCCAATGCCTGGGCTTTGGCAAATGACCTTAGCACTTTATATTTTATCTGAAAGCACCAAATAAGAATGGGAAAGATAGAAAATAAGCCAAAAGAATCCAGGGGTTCTTGCAAGAAGCAGGACAATGCACTGAACCCTGACTTCTGGCAGGTAGCAGGAACTTGACGGAGAGGGGTAATACAAAGAAGGAAAGCCTGTTTTCCCCAAGAGATCTGCTCTGTGTCTCTCAGTGTGCCTCTCTCTGCTGCATGGAGAGCTGTGGGGAGCATTCATCATGCCATACGCTGCAGGGACCGGGGGGGATTGGCCAATGGGCAGGGTTATTTCCATCCAATTGACCAAAGGCTGGATCCAAACTCCCCTGAACCCAGGGGGGGTCTCTCCGTGGAAGACAAGGTCTCCCTAGCTGCAGGAAAGGATCAGTGTCGGTTGTTTGTATGTGTGAGGGGCTAGAAGAATGAGGGGAGTGCCACAGGAAAGGGTGGGTAGGGGATGGCAGCCGAAAACAGCTGGTGGGTAGGGAATGTGGGGTGTTCAGGAGCAGGCAGTGGGGAAGGTGAGAAAGTAACGGGGGGAACGAGGAAGCTCCAACAGCTAACAGGGAGAATTCCGGTAAGGAATCATAGATTCAGAACACTAGAACTGGAAGGGACCTTGAGGGGTCATCAAGTCCAGTCCCCTGCCCTCCCGGCAGGACCAGGCACCATCTAGATCATCCCTGGCAGAAGTTTGTCTAACATGCTCTAAAGTATCTCCAATGATGGAGATTGCACAATGTCCCTAGGCAATTTATTCTAGTGCTTCACCACCCTGACAGGAAGTTTTTCCTAACGTCCAACCTAAACCTCCCTTGCTGCAGTTGAAGCCCATTGCTTCTTGTCCTGTCCTCAGAGGCCAAAGAGAACCATTTTCCTCCTTCCTCCTTGTAACACCCTTTTAGGTCAGACCATGGGGGGGGGGGGGCGGGTGCTCAGAAAGCATCAGGTCCCATGGCTTGCCAGCGAAGGGCAATGACTCCTGAGACAGGCTCCTCTGTCCCTCCTGAAATACAGCACTCTGAGCCGAGCAACAGCGGAACAAAGGAAAGGCAACGTAGCCCAGCTGCCAACCTCCGGCTGATGGATGAGGAGTTTGTGACAGATGAGTCTTCCTTCCCATTCTCCATTATGTCTCCTCAATGCAGAATTAATGTCAGCCCGTCATCATCACAATCATTTCTCCTGACCTTGACTACAGATCATCCCGGTCTACCGCAGCACTCTGCCAATGGGAAAGCCACATTCAGGACTCTTGAAATGGGCGACATCTCAGGATTTGCAGGGCTAGGAGCCTGATCGTAACATTAATGAGCCCTTCCCCTGCAAACCTACTCAATGTAAAACTCACCTGCCACGCAGCAAAAGAGCCCCGGATGCGTATTCATCTTGGGGACAATCAAACAATGTGGACAAAGGGACATTTTAATGAGTGGAGACATAAAATAATCACCTCAGTATCATTAAAAAAAACCCATCAGGGTCTGAGAGAGCATCTTTTTTATTCCCAGCTCGTCGTGGTAACTTTTCAGTATCCTGACCTCAATTCTGATGACCACAGGGTCATCCAAAGAATATGTCTTTTCAGATACAACAGTCTCGCTTATCAGAGTCCAGATTTCTCATTACACTTCTGGAGAGTTCTGGGTTTGTTTAGTCCCTCGAGTGGAACCTGAGGGGCCCAGATTTAGCTCAGTGGGCAGGTTTATGTTTATTATATTCACTGCTTTGCTATATATTTTGCTTTACTATGTTCAGCAGTAATGCAAGGAACTGACAGGTTTAAATTCCGTGAGACATTGGCTCTAGCAGTTAACCTGAGGTTTAAGGCCTGTAAACTTTGGCATAGCTCAACTTAGGTAACTCATGAGCTATAAGGAACTGGAAGTAGGATGTAAGGGGCAGTCTTGGGCATATAACATCAACTCACCTCAGAACAGGAGCTGACACCAGCTTCTAGAAGGTTCTGGATGGAACATCCGACCTCAAACGTGCCATGGCAACGAACTGACGAATATGATAATGAGTTGAAATCATAAATATACTCGCCTATGGGAAAAGGACACCTTAGCATTGGCAAGAGTTGGAAATCCAAATAAGGAATAAAAGTAACCCCCTATTAAATATGCATTAGACATGGTTACATCAGTGTAACACAGTATGGGTATATCTAGATTACATGGCGCCGTCGACAGAGCCATGTAAAATAGTTTATTCGTCATAGTCAAAGAAGCGGGGATTTAAATAATACCCGTTTCATTAAAATAAAAATGGCTGCCGGGCTGTGCTGATGATCAGCTGATCCAGCACAGCGCGGCAGTCTAGACGCGGCACGGTTGACAAGGGAAGCCTTTGTCGACTGCTCTGGTATGTCTCGTGAAACGAGGTTTACCAGAGCAGTCAACAAGGGATTCCCTTGTCGACCTTGCCATGTCTAGATTGCCGCACTGTGCCGGATCAGCTGATCGTCGGCACAGCATGGCGGCCGTTTTTATTTTAATGAAGCCGACTGCTCCGGTATGTCTCATGAAATGAGGTTTACCAGAGCAGTCAACAAGGGATTCCCTTGTCGACCTTGCCATGTCTAGATTGCCACGCTGTGCCAGATCAGCTGATCATCGGCACAGCACGGCGGCCATTTTTATTTTAATGAAGCAGGGATTATTTAAATCCCCGCTTCTTTGACTATGCTGAATAAACTATTTTACATGGCTCTGTCGATGGAGCCATGTAGTCTAGATGTAGCAGAAGAGAGTAGCATTGCCGGTAGAGAGGTAGACCTTGGGAAAAGCCAGAATGATGATCACTGGTGAAGGCGAGGAAGGGGATGGTAATGAGGAAAATGAGGGCTAACATCCAGGTTGTTCTGTAAGGCATGGCGTGAGTCTGGATGTTCCAGTGTACTTTCTATATTATCTCAGTGTTATCTCTATCTACCTTGCTGACTTAGTTTGCATATCTGTAAATAAACTATTTATTTGTAAATATAAAAGCATTCATACAGTGTGAGCATTACACCTCTGCACATCTGGGTTTCCAATCATAAAATAATTTAAATCATAATTTTACTGGGCCTGATCATGGGATAGGACCTGTCCATCCTTAGGATGTGTTACACTGCAGGTTTTTTTTTGAAAAAAGTAGGCTTTTTTTGAAAAAAATTCACTTGCATCTAGACTACAGCCGTGTTCTTTCGAAAGTAAATCGAAAAAACGCAGCAGTTTTTTTGATCGCAGTAATCCTCATTTTACAAGGAATAACACTTTTTTTCGAAAGAACTCTTTCGAAAAAAGGCGCTATTGAATGCAAGCTGTGCTTTTTTGAAAAATCTGCTTGTAGTCTAGACGCTCTCTTTCAAAAGAGGCCTGCAGTCTAGACGTAGCCTCAGAGTGAGAGATGGTAACGGGGGATACGATAGCGGTCTATAAAATCCTGTTAACCAACTTTATGTCATCAAGTAGGATCTAGGATCTTGCTTTGCAAACACCAATACTGAAACCCTACATCCATGAACAAAATGCCAAATCCTCAATGGGCGTAAAACAGTCACACGCCATTAGTTTCAGTGCAGCTTGTGACGACGTGTCGGGGACCCTTGACCCTGCACCCCTGTCCGCAGGAAGATGTGACTCCACCAGCCAGTAGAATAGAGAGGGTTTATTGCTTTTCAGAGATACAGCACAGCCTGGGTTCGATTTGGGCATAGGAGTAAGGGGTCAAGCAGCCTTAGACCCTTTGGGGAAGGGGTACGCAGGCCCCTGAACTCCCAGTACTCGACTTAGTCTGTTTTCTTCATGTTTGCACAGCCAAGACTGCCCAGCTCTCAGGTCCTGCCCCCCGGCCAGGGGCAGGGCAGGTGGCCGTCTCCGCCTCCCTTCCTTTGTCCCTCCCTCTGGGAAGAGCCTTGTTAACTGCTCAGGCTGGGACTAGGTGTCTGAGCCAATACACATGTGGGGTGAGTCAATGGGAAACACACATCACAGCACACCCAGGTGGGGACATCGGGTTACAAAGCAGACAGCCCCCCACTGCGTCACACAGCTACACTGTTATGTGACACCCAGGTATCTGACCCAGAGGCACAAAAATAACCCAATTAAATTCCCAAGGGCAGGCTGAAACACTCAAGTATAGTGCACAATGACCTGGTGCATTACAGGTGAGGTGTTTGTCTTTCCTTCCTGCACTGGCATGAACCCAGCAACAGCGCAGATCAGGATAAGGAAAACACCTGATGCAAATATTTCCATGCACGGATGTTAGACACGGATGGAAGCAGTAGAGTTCAGAAGATCCAAATGTTCCCAAGGTTCTGAGGCGTTCATTAAGACTTGGAATGGAGCTGGGGTCCGGACTGTCTCAAATGTGGGGGATTTGGGTTTCTAGGCGTTTGCACTGGGCTCCTCTCTGCAATGAACTACTAGAAGATTTACCCAGCGTGTCTCAGGTCCTTAACTTAAATAAGTTTTGTTTTTCTTCATGTAAATCATTGATCTGGGGTGGGGTTGGAGAGGAGGGGTTCAGGATGCAGGCTGCCCTGGGGAGAGAGGACAACCCCAGCCCTCTCTCACTGCAGCAACTTGGGGCCAGGTGAGACATGCCTCTGTATGGCCACTGCAGCTCCAGCAGGCACAGCTGAGAGCGGGGTGCATGTCCCCCAGCTGGGGGCCAGACAGACACACAGACACACAAACCGACAAACTCCCTGAAATATATAGTAGGTAGTTGTCCCTCTCACCACCCCTACCCCCTGCCGACCAAATGAAGGAACAGCTGTCCCAGTCCCCATCTCTGCCCCCTTGCTGCCCCCTTCTGGTCATTCTACAGTATAACTGTCCCTACTATCAGATTCCTCCTTCCCATTGTCCTGGCACAACCAAACACTGACCTTGCTTCAAGTTAAGATAAGAGGAAGGTGCCTGCCAAATTTGGTGGTCCTAGCTGTTACCGCTCAGGAGGAGATCCTGAACAAATGGACTCACAGACGGACAGAGGGACACACAGACACACAGATGCACAAAGTGTCTTAATATATGTCGTAGACTTGTGTAAACCAAAAACACTGAAGCATATGGGCAGGTTATTCCATCACTCAGAAATAGCCAGGAAGAAGACAAGTTGCCCAGGGGGTTTCTTGAATCCCCTAAATCCAATTACCTCCTCCCAGTGTTTGTTCCTAAACAGTTCATACGGTGGATACCACTGTTGAATGTACAATTAACTCACTGATCTGAGGCTGTGATAATAGATGTCTCTTGAAACTGAGCATACATTAAACAACAGAAGGAGTGGGAACCAATAATTCCTCTTGTCATGCCGATGACATGGAACCAAGACGACTAATCTCTGCAACGCGGGGCAGGGGAGAGGCGGAGGGATGGAAGCCATTTCCATATTTATTGACAAATTTAATTTACACCCTGAGTTTTCATGCTGGAGTGAATATATTTCACTTTAAATGTATCAGTCTTTAACCGTCAGCCCAGCAATAATGATTTCTATGCCCGCAGACACTTTTACACTGGGACACTACATTTATATGTAACACTTTTTAAATAAAATGTTATTAAAATTCACCATTTAGACGCAAGCTGTAAATTCACTGTAAGCAGGAACAAACGAGGAGGTGGCAGAGGAACTTCTGTTTTCAGCTTTTAGGGTGTAATTCCAGTAAGACAGCATGCCTCCCCGGGCCCGGATTAACCCTCTCGTGTTTAGGGGGCAGTGCTGAGAAGGCTAGAATGTCCCAGCCCAACTCTGAAGCTGAGAAACAGCTCCCCTGCAGTTCCTGTTGCCCCGGGAGGCATAAGGATGTCCCTTTTGATGTAACAAAGAAGAGCCAAGATGCAAGTCAGAATCTCAGCAACAGGTATAGAGTTCAAATGAAGTCAGCTCATTTCCAGACCCGTTTTGAGGAGATGAGAAGACAACATGGAAAACCAGTCTGACACTTTTCATCCAGCAGTTTCAAAGCACTTCCCAAACACATGCCATAAAGTCTACGTCTACATTGCAGCTCTATTTCAGGATACCGGTGGTCTAGCTATTCTGTGTCTTTTGAGCTTGCCCGTTATTTCAAAATATAACAGGCTTGCTATTCCGACGTCCCTGTAAACCTGATTCCACGAAGAGTAAGGGACGTTTTGGAACAGCAGTTTATTTCGAAATAAGTGCTGTGTAGACAGTGGCAATTTTCGAAATATATTTCAAAATGGACTTGAAATAAGCTACGCAATTTGTGTAGCTCAAATTACGTAGCTTATTTGGAGTTATGGGGGCAGTGTAGACGCACCCTTCGAGATGCAACATCTTCCATGAGAAAAGTAAGAATTATGAGACCCATCTTCCTGGGTGGATCAGGATCAGAACCCATGGACAATTTTGAGTTAGGAGGAGATTCCCAGGAGGCAAACTACATAGAGAAAGAGAAAGTCTGTGAAAAGGGAATGTCACCAATCAACTTAAGCCACTGTATACATTCTAAAAGACAGGAGGAGCCAAAATTTGACTTGCCTTGTCTTCTAAACACACTCTAATACTTTTACATAAAATTATATGTATCTCTTTCTGGATTTGTTGTGTTTGCCACATAAAATGGAAATTTCTATAAATGTCTTAGCCACCATCTTGGCTAGCACACTGGGGATTGAACTAGGACCTCCGGAATTAAAAGAATTAATGTGTGCATGTGGGGGGTGGGAGGATTACTATTTGCGCTAAAGAGGCAGACCTCTGTAGTCTGCAGATGTGCATTGTGAATTGGCTGGAGAGGGCAACCAGGAACACAGGTTCACCAGTGGGTTACAATTATTTTTTTTTCAGTTATAACTATAATCAGCCAACAGCCCAGCATCATATTTTGAAGAACCCTATAATAACAAACCTGCACTCTCATGAGCAACCCTACAATAATGAAACAGCACATTCCTGAAAAAAATCTATGATAACCTCAATGCACTTATAAGGCACCCTACAATAACAAAACAGAGTATGTATCTGACACCGCCCTGTGATAATAATCCAGTGCATTTCTAATCATCCCTAAAATAAC